AAATGTCAGCAAGCTGCAGGTAGGATGGGACATAAATTACTATTATTAACTAATTAAACATTGTCCCTAACCAAATGTATAATTTATACTGAGATGAAAAAAGTATTAATTTTTTGTAAATAAATAATACTACCTCCGTCCGGTTCTAGGGTCCCATTTACTTTTTGCATCGTGTTAATCTGTGAATATTAACTATTATATGATAACGTAGTCCAAACTAATGAAAAATGGCAAAAATAATTCTATTGGTGTCTTATAATCCGCAAAAGGTAGATGAGATATTTAGAGTCGAATGGAAAGAGTATACTTTTATAATATTTATCAAGAATTGTGCTATTAAAAATAATGATGGGTAACAAATTCATTATCTACTTTATATGTATTTTTATTTTATATTTAAATCACATCAATAATTATTTATTTTTATATAAAAACATGATTAATATTCAAATGAACCCCCGCCCCTAAACACGTCTTAGTGCAATTTTTCCTCTTCAATTATAAAGACACTAGCGTATATACCAAAACCAACTCATTCCATCCGCGGAACAAGATTAAGCTGTGACAATTTTAGCGCAAGAGAACAACAAGATTCTCTCTGGCAAACTTCCAGAAGGAAATTGGGAATGTAGAGGCGGAAGGTGCAGGTGCAGCAGCAGACGCCATCGCCTCTTCTTTTTATTTTTAAAAAATAATTTTAAAATAGTGGCGCGAACAATGGCGCCTCTTTTTTCTGAACAGTGTATATTATATTTGTAATGGTGTATTTAAATTTTTTATATGTTATATATAATAAATATAAAAATATTTATACGAATAAAAATATAAAAACATATTTAATTAAGTAATTAAAGATTCACATAAAATATATTTATAAATATATCGAAAATCAATTTAGTAAATTGTAAAATAATAACTAGGCTAGATAATACACTAAAAAAAATTAGTATATTTATAATGAAATTCCGTTTCTATAGTTCACGTAGCTAACATAATTTTATCTCTAATTCCATTTCTAATATCATTAGTAACCGAAAAACTGAATTTAGGAACGAAATTGATAATTTCAGTGAATATAAAAATAAAAATAAGAGTCTAGAATCAATTTAGAATATAAATAAGTGAACATATATCCATCATTCTGAAACCATTTTTCTAATACCATCAAATAAAAATTTGCGTATATGGATATTGATAGAAGATAAAATAATAAAATTGTAAAAAATTAAACCAATATATGAAAAATATACTTAACAAAATAATAGTACATAAAAATATATTTATAAATATATATAAAAAAACAAATATAGTAAGAAGTGAGGTTACATAATATAAAAACAAAACAAGAGTCCAGAAAAAATGAAAAATATAAATAATAAAATAAAAATTATATGTTCTAGAACCATTGGTCCTCGGGCGAACAAGTTGTCAACACGGTGATACTCGTCTGCGGTTAGGGTTTTTTTTAGCTTTGTTTTCGGTTCGGCTTGAGATGCTCAATTCTACGCCGTTTCAAATTTTATTGAGGTTTCTCATCTTTAGTTAAACTGTTAGTCTGATTTTATTTTGTTTGATTGATTTTTTTTTTTCATTATTTCTTTGTTCATTTGAGTGGCCAGATTGATGTTGGTTTTAGGGAGGACACATCTTTTTTGTTCGGATTTGTGTTGTTTGTCCCATAGCAGTATATAAATTGGATCAAAGTAAAATTTAATTGATTGATGCTGAAAGATTTAAGAGGGTTAACAAATTTTGTAAGCCCTACGGGTCCACTCATCCGATTAAGAAACGAAAAAAAAAAAGGATAACATGCCAGGACAAATGTGAGAAGGGGCCTTTTTATCGGACCCCAAGTATTGCCTCGAAGAACCCCAAGAAGCTGTTTTCGAGGGATCTTCTTAGCTAGTAGGTAACAAGTTGTAATTTTGTGGATTCATATTCATTGTGTGCACTTAATTCAACATTAGAAAGGACCGAACATTGTAAGTTCAATAGTAATTTGATTTTTCGTGGACGTCTTACCGATTGTAAGTATTTTGTTTATCCAAAACACACCAGTTAAGCAAAGGGGAGATTTTGATTTTCCGATTGATTGACACTTGCAAGTATGAATATTTGTATTGTTTCTAACATCAAATAGGTTTGCATTTTCGTATTGAATCATCTGATCTCTTTTAACCTTCTTATTTAATTGTTATATATATATTATGCTTATAGTGTGTATTTAGATTTTATGAAGTCACGGGTAGACTTCTTCAAGTGCTTTTGTGTGGATATGTATATGAAGAAATATTTTGGTTAAATGAGTTATGTATGTTTGGGTGTGTAGTTTGATCTGCCAATAGTATTCAATCCTATGATTCTTATAAATTATTGAATCTTTTAGAGCAGCAATATAGTGTTCCCGTCTTTTGAATGAGTGCCTTAGATTTCGTAAATCCTAATATATGTTGAGTGGTTGTGTGTACATTATAATTGGTTGCTTGATTTCGGATAACAAATTCTTCTGCTCTTAATTAAATGTTTTTCTCTTTGTGCCATGAATGACGCATTTTGTTGGTATTTAATACAATGCTCTACCTAACATCAACATTGAATAGGAGTTTATATTATTATCTCTACGATGTTGTTGAGTTAAACTTGAGTTTAACACATGTAATTGGTAAATGCAAATCAACAGATATAGCAATAGTTCCATAGTCGAAGATAAGCCTTTCCCTTAGATATGTGATAAAAAATATTCAGAAATTTACTGCTTCCATACAAAGCATCATAGTAACTGCAGCCGAAAATACAAGTACCCTATAAAAAATGATAGCTTTGAAAGTGGATGACACTTCAGTGGTGGTCCAAGCAGCATCAAAGACAGTCAACAAGAAAGGGGTCTGGGAAGACGCCAATCTGGCCTCGCCCCAAATTAAATATCTCTCCCATAAGAAGATACATATAGTTGAGGCATTATTCCAACAACTGGGATCTGTGTGGATGTTTGAGGGACTGCTGAACTATTATTTGAACATAATATTTTTATTTTATTGGACAGATCAAAGGATATATGCCAGTGTTGTCCAAGAGAGTGGGCTCCCTTCGTGCAGGATATGCTAGTGTTGTCTCCAAACCTTAAGGTGCTCTTTGTTTGATAGCACCTCATGTTAAGTAGTACAAAATCAGGTAACAACATATTTTAATTTTAGTCACAGAAATAGTTGAATCTAAAGCGAAATTTTCCAATGCAACCTCGTTCCGTTCTGTCCAAATATAATAAAGAGTCGCGGAAAGGACGATCTGTCGCATGATTTGCGAACCTGTTGTTTTTGTCCACTCTTTTGTTTTCTCAATCGAGTAAAGCTCCCTTGGTGCCTAAAGTCATTTGCATATTTTAGTCCAAACTTTTGTTGAGAAAGAGCAATGGATGAACAGGTGGTGGGCTGTTTCCAGGTCCTCCTTGCAGAGCACACAAAGAGGATAGAGCCATCTGCTGGATGTGATGTTTTGTTTGAAAATTGTTGATATTTTTGGCCCAACCTAATCCGTGACCCATTGCCCCACTTGCAACCCAAACCCGCGTAACTTGGATCATATTCTATTAACCTTGACACGCATCAATATATAATTCCTCCCTCTTCCATTCTTTGTGTACTTAAAATTCGATTCTATTTTGATTGTTCATCCTCATGCATTCTTTCTTTCATTGGTTTTTTAGGTGGTTTTCTATTTTATGGTTAGTTACAATCGTTCTCTTCGTCAATCTCTTCGGTGAGACATCCTCTTCATGAGTTATGAGTGTTCGAAACATTAGTTGTCGATTAGTTGAGTTACGTTAATAGTTTGAAGGTGTTGGTGTCGGGTTTGTTTGGAGGCAATTGGTTTTAGAAAGTTAGATATATAGTCAAGAATCTAGCCTCATCCCAAAGCAAATGCTTTGTCATTAGTGCCCACCCTGGGCTTGGGTGATCTGGGCCCAAGCCCAAGACCCCAAAATTTTTGGCGCCTTTATGGCTATTTCTTTTAAAAAAAACATATTTATATATAAAAATCAAATTTATAAAATATTTGTATAATATTAATATATATTAAAATTAATTCGGTTGCAGCTAAATTTGAGGTTTTTTATTTAAATATATTTTAATATGATCTTGATAACAATATAGACAAGCTAAAAAAATCATAATAAAATAAATAATTAAAGAATATTAATTTCATATAAAAAAAATTAATAAGATTTTTTTTTAATTTTATCCGGAGCCCATCAAAATTGTAACAGATTAACTACTATGGCTAATATAAAAAAAAATTGTTCAAAAATCTAGAATAAATTTAAAATATAAATAATATATATATACTACACAAACCTTCTGGAACCATCAGCTACTAAAAAAAAAATAGGTAGTAGCACTAAAAAGATACATTTAAAAAATTGTAAAAAAGAATAAATAAAAAATATAATTAAATAAATAAAAATACATATAACCTTCTAGAACCATCCCTTAGTAATATAAAATTCGCCCATTTTCGGATTAGGGTTATTGTGTACTTTGTTGGCGGCTGGAGAAAGGCACCACAGTTCCAAACAAAAAGAGAAATCCGGCTGAGGATTGGGAATCGATTGAGATAGGCGTTGGTTTTTGCGAATGATGAATCAAACACTACTATGAGGTAGGTTTTCTAAAGTTGATAAAAATTTAAAGCAAATACTTTTACTGTGAGGAAAATTATGATGTATGTATCAATTGTGCAGTACTCATTGGATCCTGTGCTTATCAGCAAGAAAACCTATGCAGACTAACGGGATTTTGTGGACGCAAGGCCTGAAGTAGGAGCAATTGTGGGTGGTCGTGGGAAGGCATCTTAATTGGATGCGAAAACTTCCGGTCTATTTCCTCGGTACATTAGTGGAACACATATAATAATTTTGCGTTTCAGACCCACTAATTGCTATCAACTGATTCGTATATCTAACCTATACCTATCGATAGGTGAGAAAAAGTTTCTGTCGGTAGTGCAGCTGTTGGAGCTCCCGACCGCACCCCAAACCCAGCCACTGCTTCTTGGTAACGCTTTAGATGAAGTACCTTTGATGCCCTTGTAACTCTCAAAAATCCCTTTCTTTCATCTATTACTTGATCATGAATATAAGTATTTTATAATCAGGTTTTTGGGGCTACATATGTGAGCATCGATGTGCTTGAGAACAGTACTACTAGCCACAAAATTATGGTAGTTCAAGGTGTATATATATATATATATGTCTGTGTTTGCATAGTAGTTTGATGTGATGATTGTGAGAGGCGATAGTGTATTTTTTTGGGGAAGTTTCGGGATTGCATATTAAAGAGTTTGAAAAAAAAAATTGATTGACGAACAGAGTATATTTTAGAAATACTTGACATTTTTTGGTTGAACATTTTGTATGCTTGTGTAGAATCTTAGAGTAGTCTTGATGAATATGAAGACCAAGATTCATGCCCGTGTGTCATTTGGTCCTGATTTCCAACAGACGAAGTTCCGGAACTCTTTAAAATGGTAATTATCATTAGGTGCACTTCAGTATGCTATCTTACTATAAATCCTTATAATATAAGTCTCTTCAATACCCTTCAGGTCAAGGGATGTGGTGCGGATGTTACATTCGACAAAAAAAAGCCGGCATAATGCTGATGGTGACTTGATACACATATATGCGCACACAAAGTGTTTTCTCCGACTAAGGGTGAGTTCTAGTTCTTCCAAATTCGCAACACACCTGTTGAACTTGAAAAATGCATGTGTAATTAATTTTTCAACATGCATCCTTTTTCAGAAATACAAGAAAAGTAGTACCCCCACCATTCACATTACTCCACGAGACCTCAGCCCAAAGTATGCTGAGAAATTGGGTTCGGGTGTACACGAATACCACAAAACATATAGCGAATCATATTGTATAGGACAGCTAATGGTTTGGTATATCCAATATCCCGACCCAGATGTTTTGCTGGCTGAATCAAGCAGGGGATGCCTGTCGTTACCCAAAGCCCAGAAGGCATCACAACAACTTGTTTACGGCCGAAGGACAGTGAAGTTTATGCTTTCTATGATGGTATGCCTTGATAATCATGTGCAGATTTAGTAATCAAATTTAATATCTGTTTTCATTTTTATGATTGGATTCTGACCGATAATCTCCCATGTATTTTCTTTGCCAGAAGAAAAAAACCCCAAATGCCTTGGCCAGAGGACCAGACATGGTCATTCAAGAGCTCCCGGAACATTGTTGGCAGCCCAATGCTGGACATTGTCCTACACAAGGCGCATTTAAAAACCGATGCTTCGCTGGTTAAGACTCAAATCTAAGGTCTCCCGAGGAACGTAGCATTTGTGATTCTCTTTTAGTTGAGTAAATTTATTTGTTGTTGCTAGCATATGTTTGTGCTGATGCCTTATTTGACTCCTAATAATAGATGCTAGCATATGTTTGTGGCTTGGAGTATGTACCTCATAGTTGTGCCTGTCATCGAAGTAAGTGGCCTTGTATGTGTGGGACTCTTAATTATATTGCAACCTTATCTTGGACACACATGCGGTTCTTGTTTCATGTATTGTCCTTAATGTCGCATCTTTACGGAATGTGCTTACATCCTCTGAGATATTTTTTAAGCTTACTGGATCAAGCATGCTCCTTGTCCCTAACCATTTCTTGTTGCAACAACATTCAATATGTTATATTCATTCTGGATTATTTTTTTTTTTCTCTGGCATCTTCATTCTACCGCAAATCCCTCGTATTATGTGTATCCACAATAGAAATAGCATGTTGCGTTGGGTGGACTAAATTCGAGACCTCTCCAATCCAATAAATCTACAATCAATGGCATTCATAAATGCTATTGTAACTGGACAATATGCTATTGCGACATGTCCACTTATTTTCCGAAGAAATTCACATATGTTTTTTATATATGTGTCTGAATGAACTATGTAATTTGTTAGTATAATTGCAAACATTTTGCAAACCATTAAAAAGAAAAACTATTCTACTTGAAAAAAAAAGTGTTCTTAATTTTTTTTTCATGAAAAATTTAAACGATTGCTTTTCTATGTTTCTCTTTTAACCGTTTATTAGATTGATTTTTTGTCATGTGAATGTTATTAATTTTATTTTAGAAGACATGCAACTAAATCCTTCTATTGCTTACAACCATAATGCTTTTGTATCGCCTCAAACGCAGGTAAGCTTATAAATACATTTTCAGATAGATGTTTGTAATTGTTGGAAGATTGGCGTAAAAATTTTGAAAGAAAAATATTATTTATTCAAATTATAATTTGAACCCATCATTTCTTCTCAGACGCGCCATGCATTATGTAGTTTTGACTACATGTTTAGTGACTTTCAATATTCAATTATTAAATAACACAATAACGTGAGTAACCTCCATTGTTATGAATGCAAGTAACCTCCAATATTAAAGAAAACACATTAACTTTCAACAGTAACATACCGAAAACATATTTCACAGTTTTAGCTAGCATATTCCTCTACCGGTTCATATCATATATTGTTTATATGGAAAGCATACTAAAAATCAATTTGGCTAGCACAAATTGTGAATTCTTTTTGTTATTGGAATTAGTATCAAATATGAAATGCATAAAATATTTTCTTGTATAGCTGACTATTATTATTTACATTAATCAATAACAAATGGATTCCATCATAATAATTAGGAAAGACGCATAATTAAATATTTTCATAATTACTCTAATATATAATTACATTTTAATCCCTAACTCCAATCTAATCTATCAATATAATCTTGCGATGTACGGCACAAATCATATCAGCGTGGTTCTGATTCTAGTAATTTGCACTATAACTGCAGTTCAACACTTGCATGCAAATTATTGTAAAAACGACAAAATAGTATTGTTATGCATAAAGTACGGAAGTTGATAACAAAAATATTAAAGAGACGTATAAATGAAGAAAATAGATATTTATATCAAAAAGCTTTTATTGATCACTACAATAACTAATTTTGCAGTTACGTTTACAAAGTTCAACATGCACACATATTAGACACTCAACCAGCAAATCACAACATGCTTTGGTCCTTTGTAGATTGGGTGAATATTAGGTATTTATTTTAATTTGTTTATGTATTCATTGTCCCCAAAATTCTTCTCCTATTTCTGTTCTTCTTCAATCTTTCTTGCGAATTCAGTCTTTCCAACCAGCCATTTCGTTCTTCCTTCCCAATGTCTTCCTTGGAGGAACAGGTAAAGCCTCGATTACAGCTCCAAAATATTATTCTCCCCCCAAACCTGCAGTGGAAGAAGAATAAACGGAATGCCTCCTCTCAGTTGAGCATAGAGGAGGTGGAAAAGGATATCCTTTCGACCACCGGAGGGAAGCCCTCCTGGACCCAAGAAGAAGCCGAAGCACCTTACTATTATTATATAATCCTCATATAATATTGGGGGCGTAAATGTTTAATGTGTTTACATAGTTGTTCAATAGATTTTTTCTTTTATTTTTTTAGTTCAATAAATTCTCTTTTTAGGTTCATTCTTTAGCAATTTGTGTATTTTGTGTGCACGTTGAAGCAGCAGAAATGTGAAAATAGTTATGATAAACATGTGAAGTTTCATACTTATATGTATATTGGACGAGATGATATTTTTATGTATTACAAGTATTACATATACCAAAATATATTTTAACCTTTGGCCATTTAGGTAAATATTAGATATTATTTTAATATCTATTCATTTCCTCGTACCAATTTAACTTCTAATTTAAAATAAAAAATTTGATTATACTCCATATGTCATCCAATTGTGTGCTCAAATATTTGGGTATGAATTTTAATAAAAACGAGTAATAATTATTACTTTGTGCTTTTTATAATAAGAAAATACAAAAACTATACATTAAGTTTTTTTTGCTAAAAAGGGAATAAGACTTTTTTTTTTTTTTTTTATGACAATCCAAAAGGAAAAGTGAAATGAGAAATTTACTGGTGGAAGGAGTGAGTATGTTATAGTAATCGTAATAATAAGAGAAGAAAATAGGTAAGTGATCACTTCATCATTTCATCATTTCACTGCAATTTTTCATTATCAGATTATAATCAAATCTTCATGATATAGCTGTGGTAGTTCAGAGATGGCACTGTCCGGCGATCAAGGGAAGAAAACCTCTGCCACCAGAGACAACCAGCCTCTTTGTCCACCCCTCTCTCAGGAAAATGTGAAGCAGACGAGATCTGGTCATCGTTGTGACCTCCGCTGCAGAAGGACCCAAAACTGGCCGATGACACAGATGAAGAAGTGAAGATTGGAACCTGAGGCCGCGTAAGCTGATCGTAAAGAAGAGAATGCTGAGCGTTGGGAGATCAAAGCGGACATAATTTCTATGACGGGAAGGATGAGGCCACCCTGGCGCCCCAAGAAGAGGTCGAAGCACCTTCAGAGTCACATCAACACACATATACTAGAGATCGAATGCAGTAATGCTCAAATCTCATTAAACTGCTCTGGAAAAATACGTCTAATACATGATCCAAGCTTGAACATTATTTTCCAATCCACTAACACAAAAATAGGACTATTTGACAACAAAATAACTTACTTCCGAAATTCTAGGACTTATTCAAGTGAAAAGTAATTCAAATTTAACAAACCTAAGTCTAAATTAAATGAGCAGCATATCTGATTCCCTCACAAAATCCTCCTTAATCAAGTGCTGCAAACTCCCAGCTTATTTCTTAACGTTTCAAATCGTCCCACACTAAAAGACTTTGTGAATATGTCTGCAATTTGTTCATCTGAGTTGCATTGTAATAGTTTCACTTCTCCTCCTTTTTGTACTTATGTCAGCATGCAGTACTTCACCTTAAAGTGCTTAGTTTTTCCAAGAAACATGGGATTAAGTGAAATAGAAACGGCAGCTTGGTTATCAACAAACACTTCAATGCCTCCTCCTTGCTTCAGCTGCGAATCATCCATCAATTTGTTCAACCATAAGGGTTGATTTACTGCAGCGGTTGCTGCTAGAAATTTAGCTTCGGCAGTTGATTGAGCTAAAATTTCTTGCTTCTAATCTAAGAACATCAAGAGAAATACCCTGAGCCAAAGTTAAAGCAATACCAAGAAGTGCCTTCATGTCATCCACTGAACCAGCCCAATCGTTGTCCAAATGTCCTTGCAATTTGAAATTTTCAAATTTTCTAAATTTCATTCCATAGCCTACTGTGCCTTTCAGATATCTCAATACCCTTTTTTAAGCTACTATATGAGCTTCACTTGTGCAATTTAGATATCTAGAGAGAACACCTACAGTGTGCATGATGTCCGACCTTGTGGAAGTAAAATACATAAGGCATCCAACAAGTCCTCTATTGGCAAGCTCATTGTCTTGCACTTTTCCATCTTGAATTTTTTAAAAACTTTTTTCACCTTTCTATGTGTTGGTTTCTCCACCAACTCCCATGTTTTATTCTTCTCTATTGCAACTTCTCCTTTATTGCATCCATCCATTCTTTTTCCATCTTTGTTTCCTCGTATGCAGCAGGTTCCATGATAGCTACATTGCACCTTTGGTTTACATGACTCAATAATCTAGTGCCTCTAACTATTGTATCATTGACCAGCTCTTCGGGATATAATCCTAGAAAATTTTTATCAGCTCCCTCTATCGAGACTCACTTTTCATCCGCAAAAAAGTAAACATCCCTACTAATACTCACTTTTTCTGATTGTGGATGATATATTCTATAGCCTTTAGTTATTTAGCTATAGCAAAAACATTCTAGCTTTAGGATCTTTCCTCTAACTTGTCTCTTTTAACTTAAGGCACATGAGAGCAACACAAGCATCCAAACACCTTCAGATTTTTCCGATTTGGTTTCGCGTCAAACCAGGCTTCATAGGGAGTTTTTCATTCTTCAATACTCCTGTAGCTAACCGATTTAGCAAAAAACACTGTTGTGTTAGCTGCTTCCGCCCAAGATTCATTTGGTAGACTCTTTTCATGCATCAAACACCTAGGAATCTCCATTATTGATCTATTCTTTCTTTCAGGTGTGGAACCGTGAATTAATGCTCAGTCCAAGCTTCATCAACAAAATACTTGAAAATTTGGTGATGTATATTTTGTTCCATTATCAGATCGTACAAGCTTGATTTTATTTCCACTTTGATTTTCAACCTAACTCTTAAACTTTTGAAATACATCAGAAACTTCAAACTTTTGTTTCATAAAGTAACTCCAACACATTCGAGTAAAATCATCAATGAAAATGATGAAATACCTACTTCCATTAAGAGATGCAGTTGCTTGAGGACCACACAAATCTGTATGAATCAACTGCAACTTTCTTGTTGCCTTCCAAGTTATTCTTTTGAATATTGCCTATTTTTCTTCCGTGTCAAACATGCCCTAAAAACTGATTTTTCTTCCTCCACGTTTGGCAACCCAACTGCCATGTGATTTTTGTACATGAACTTCAATCTGCTGTGATGAAAATGCCCCATTCTTTTATACTAAAGTTCAGATTCACTAATCTTGCAATGGAATACCATTTGCTCTTCTTCTAATTGATTTATTAAGAAGCTCTTCTTGTTCATCATAATTCTGAACAACTCTTCACCACTTAAGTTTAGAATAAGACATTTTCCTTCTTCAAAGAACACATTGAATCCC